TTCATGTGATCTTGATTCTATGCCTCTGTTTATACAATCCAGGATTGTATTAGCTTTTTTGGCAGCTGCTGCACACTGCTGGCTCATAGTCAAATGATCGTCCACTAGGACTCCAAGGTCCCTCTCACATTTGCTGCTTTTAAGCCAGGTCTCTCTTAATCTGTACTTGTACCTTTGATCTTTCCTGCCTAAATGCAAAACTTTGCTTTTCTCCACATTAAACTCATTTTCTTGGATAGGGCCCATTGTTCAAGTTTGTGAAGATCTTTTTGGATCCTGAGTTTATCTTCTGGGGTGTTGGATACTCCTGCCATTTTAGTGTGATCTGCAAATTTGATGAGTTCCCCTTCAATTCCCTCATATAAGTCATTATGAAGATATTAAAGAGTACTGGGCCTAAGATGGAACTTTGTGGTACCCCATTGCTTACTTCTCTCCATGTGTATGTAATGCCATTGAGGACTACTCGTTGAGTACGGTTTGCCAGCTAGCTACAGATCCATCTGATGGTGATGTTGTCTATTCCACCTTTTTCTAGCTTACCAAAGAGTAGGTTATGGTCTACTTTATCAAATGCCTTACTGAAATCTAAGTATACTACATCCACAGCATTTCTCTGATCTACTAGTTTAATCGCTTTATCAAAGAATGAAATAAGATTGGTTTGGCATGATTTGTTTTTAACAAACCCATGCTGTCTACTAGTTATAACTTTGTTTGCTTCTAGTTGTTCGCAGATCTGTTTTTTGATTATCTTTTCTAGGATCTTCCCAGGGATTGATGTTAAATTGATTGGTCTGTAGTTTCCTGGGTCTGTTTTTTTTTTCTTTTCTTTTCTTGAAGATGGGAACTACCTCAGCCCTTTTCCAATCCTCAGGCATTTCCCCAGTTCTCCAGGATTTTTGAAAGATATGGTACAGTGGTTCTGAGATAACATCTGCTAGCTTCTTCAGAACTCTCGGATGTAGTCTATCAGGTCCCAATGATTTATATTCGTCAAGGTCAGATAGGTGTTCTCTTTCTATTTTCTTGCTTATTTTGATTTGTATTTCTAGTTTGTCTTTTGCACTGGTTTTTTTGGTATGTTGGGCTATAGTTTCTTTTTGTGTGAAGACTGATACAAAATATGAGTTAAGGAGCTCTGCTTTCTCCCTGTTGCCTGTTATTTCTTCTCTTTTTACTGGACCTACAATTTCCTTGACCTTTTTCTTCTTGTTAGTATGTTGGAAGAAACTTTTTTAAAATTATCCTTGATTTCTGTTGCAAGTCTTTGTTTATTCTGAGCCTTTTCTTTCCTGACTTCATCTTTGCATGTTCTGGCTGTCTGCTGATAATCAGCCTTAATTATGTGCCTCTCTTTCCATTTTTTGTATTTGTCCTTTTTGTCTTTCAGTTTGTCAGAGAGAACTTTGTGTAGCCAATTCTTCTTGAATTTCTTGTATTTTTTTCAGTGGTATTGTGCTTGTTTGGGTTTTTATGATCACATTTTTCAGAGTTTCCCACGCTTCTTGGGTTGTTTTCCCCTCTAGGACTTTCATCCATGAGATCTTTCCTAGATTCTCTCTGAGTTTGTTAAAATAGCTCTTTTGAAGTTTAAGACATGGGTTGGATTGTTTTCTATTGCTAGTGTTTGCATTATATTAAATTCCAGTATGACATGGTCACTTTCACTCAAGGTTCCGGCAACTTCAACTCCCTCTATCACTTCTTTTCTATTAGTAAGAATTAAATCCAGTATAGCTTTACATCTAGTTCCCTCCTTCTTTTTGATGACAAAGTTGTCGGCTAGGTTGGTTAGGAATCTGATCTCCTGCTCGCTGCAGAGTTTGTCTCCCGTCTGATATCTGGATAGTTGAAGTCTCCCATTACTACTGTGGTATGCTTCCTACATAAATTTGTTAATTGGTTGGAAAAGAGTTCATCTATTTTTTCTGATTGGTTGGGTGGCCTGTAATATACACCTAAGGCATTGTCATTTTTTTTCTCTTTTATATTGACCCATATACATTCTGAAGAGATTTTATCTTTGATCATGTGCATTTTTGTAGATATGTAGTGTTCTCTTACATATAGTGCAATTCCCTCTCCTCTTTTTGTAGATCTATTTCTTTTGAACAATTTGTATCCATCCATCCTTGTTTGCTACACTTGATTTTACATGTTTGCCATATCATGAGCCTTATCTTATTGGCCTCAGTGTGTTTGTTTCACAGAACTCAGCACTCGCAAACAATTTGCATTTTAAACTTAACCAAATTAATCCTAAATTCACATTTCAATATTTCCATGGTGAGGCCACATAAGGGAATATTTTTGGCCTCAGAATGTTCTTCCAGGATTAAGCAGGAGGAGAAAAGGCATTATAGCTTCATTTAATGTCATTAACTACTAGACAGTATGAAACTTCCAAGATGGGTTCTCAAAACAATAGTGGTCTGGAATGGTCTTATATTATGACTAAATATAACACTTATAGAATCCAAGCAAAGTAGCTGATGTTCAGAAGTAACACTACACTCAGCAGGCCCTGTATTCCTTTTATTACAAACTAGATTTCAGCCTTAAAACCAAAATAAAGATTAGACAAGCTACAATGTAAAATGGCTTTAATTAACTATGGTTAAGCATTAAGCACAGAACATATCATGGTCTCTCATTGCTTGAGAGGCAACATGAAGAGCCATCATCCTTGGATTGACCCAAAATGATTACCGTATATCCCGGCATATAAGACAACTTCCGGAAGCGCTAAACTCGGCGCCAAAGAAGGGGGTCGTCTTATACATCGGAAATACTGGTAGTTTCCGGCATATAAGACGACGTTCTAGGAATGCGTCTCAGCGATAAAGACGGGGGTCGTCTTATACGCCGGGTCGCCTAATACGCCGGCATATACGGTAATGCTGCTGATTATTACTTTTACCCCTAGATATAGAATAGTTCAGGAATAGCAGGAAGAAGCTTCTCTCTCTACACATGATAATGAGAGTGTTAATTTCAGCTAGATTAGGAGCAAACAGCCAAAAATAGATTTATAGAACAAGGAATAGGTGGAAATTTCTCATTCTGCCAGAAGTAGGAAACCTCAAGCATGTGCAAATATTCAAATTTGAATTAACAACAATTATGGCTGGCATTTTGAACCTGGCAGTTGCTGGAATTCTTTCTTTTTGCAATAAACTTACTTAATTAGATCTGTGTCCATGACTCATTGCCTATACAACTTCTGGATTTGGTATCAACCAAGACTTGAGTAACCTGACAAAAGCAGGAATGGACTATTGCTTAAGCACCAGAGCTCAAACAGAAGCAGCAGCCCACAAAAGACTGGATAAGGTGAAACCAGGCTTAATTTCTGCTTAACTATCTATGACTTCTGTACTTCTGGTACAGTTCAGCAACTAAAACACAGTGAACATTTGCTACTCTAACAATTGTTAAGGAGAAAATGGTGGAAAATGTTCACTGGGTCCTATCCATAGTGAAATGTTAACTATTCTGTTAAGCAACAGAATAGACACAGAATCTGCTAGCATCTTTAAGACCAACCATTATATTTACATTTGCCCAGGTTTGCGTTTGTAGACCTGGGATGTAATTCTGTTTTTAAAATACAGAATACTGGGAAGAAGCTACTTTTTACAGTCTCTTCCACAAATTAATTTTAAAATTAATGGAAGCTATTAAAGGAGTTCTCCAAACTGTAAGCTGGAGCCTATGAAAAAAAACCACTTGATAGTAGCTAAAGTCCTCAACTTCTTTCCTAGAATAACTCTGTGTCCCAAATAGATCACATAAGCTTGATTGATTGATTGATTTGCTCCCTTGAAAAAAAAAAGACGATGACAATGGTTAGCCAGAGTGCCATGGAGATTTCTTTTAAGCTTTTTATAGTATGGGAAGATAGCCTACTTTCATTTCAAATACAGTACTTAATCATGATTTCCACTAGAGAATACCTTCCCAGTTACTCTGAAAAGAAACTACAAGGGGGAAGGATGGAAAGCCTCGGGAGTGGAGTGTATGTGATATTTCAGGGTGTGGAATTAGGATCAGTTGAGTGGTTTTATTATTTTTACAAATAACACAAGGTAATGAACATAATTAATACACCTTCCTTCTTGTATTTTCCCGCAACAACAATCCTATGAGGTGAATTGGGCTGAGAGAGAATGACTGGTCCAAGGTCATCCAGCTTGCTTTCATGGCTGAGGCAGGACTTGAACTCATGGTGTCCTGCTTTCTATCCTGGCACCTTAACCACTAGACCAAACTGTTCCCATTCAAATACAAAACTTGCCTGAATGCCTTTGGGCCAATTACTAGTTTGCAACCTAACTTACTTCACAAGGTGTTGTGCATTGTTTTGTTAGATGAGAAAACAGGAGGTAAATGAAACTGCCTAATATAGAATAGACCAGGGGTCCCCAACCCCTGGTCCATGGACCAGTACCGGGCCGTGGCATGCCAGCAATCGGTCCACACAAACAAGCAATGCCCCATCTGCGGGATACAGGCAGCACACAAAACCATGCACTCTCCGGTCCATGGAAAAACCTCTGTCCATGGAACCAGTCCCTGGTGCCCAAAAGGTTGGGGACCTCTGGAATAGACCATGCAAAAAAGTGTGTTATATTTATTAATTAGATATTTTCCTGAAAAAGTTTTAAGCTTTGTAGTGATCCTTCTGAAAGGCAATAGTGTTAACAAAACATATATTGTCTAAGGCAACACAACTGAAAGGAGAATGAGTACTTTTACTGCCCTAGAATTTTTAAAAATTGCTCAATCTTCTGACTGGCCTTGCCAAGTTGTATCTCTTAGTTGAGAAGAATTACTGAGTAGAATGAGATGCAAACAGATTAATCCCAGATTTCCAGAAAATTAGCTTTGTTAAACATTTTTGTTGTGACTTAATCATGAAGATGCTGAAGGTATGCAAAGTCTGAAGGTGAAGAAATAACAAGGGTAATGCTTGAAATGAATCATGGAAAGCTTACCCTGAGGTAGTTGAGGGTGAAGTTAGTCAGACCCATGCGAGTGATGTTTTTGGACAACTGCTCCAAAATCTGAGGGTCTTGTGCCTGTACCAAAAAAATAGATATATTTTTTTATGTTTCGATGAGAGACATGCAGTACTTAAACACAGATTGCAGATGATCAAACTCTTTGGGATTATTATATTAAAGAAAAATGATACCAAGGTATCAGAATAGTCAAAATGGTGGCTTCGATCATAGTTGGTATCTTGAGGGTTTTTCAATAATCTGTCTGAAGCAGTTAAGCTGTTTTATCCTTAGAAGAGCCATGTTCTCACTATATGTTACCACAGCACTAAAAGAGCAAGGAGGCTGAGGTGATCCATTTTTGACATCTTCCTGAGGAAAATACTGCTTTGAGCCAGGGCCTAATCCTAATGTAAAGTTAAAGGATGAAGGTTTTACAAAGGCCAGATTTTAACTTGATCTAATTTAGTTCATAGCTTAGGACGTTGACAAGCTAATGAATTCACATTATTCTTTTGGGTGCTCTCCCATTGTCTTCAGGGTTTCTTAGACAATGTCTTAGCACAACAATTTGGTTTGGTGGTTAATGGCTTCAGTCTTGAAACCAGAAGAGCACAAAGCCCACTGGGGGGACCTTGGGCCAGTCCTTCTTACTCAGCCCTAGGAAAAAGGCACTTCTGAAAATGCTGAGAAGAAAATTTCAGAGATTTGTCCAGGCAGTCACTAGAAATCAAGATTGATTTAATAGGACCAATAAATACCAAGGAGCCGAGGTGGCGGAGCAGTTAGAGTGCAGTACTGCAGGCCACTTTAGCTGACTGTGTTCAGCAGGTCAGCGGTTCAAATCTCACCGGCTCAAGGTTGACTCAGCCTTCCATCCTTCCGGGGTAGGTAAAATGAGGACCCAGATTGTTGGGGGCAATGTAAATATATATTCATTGCTTACTGGTGTACACCGCTTAGAGAGTGCTTGCATTTAAAGCGGTATATAAGTCTCATAAATAAATAAATACATTTTTTTAAAATGCAAAACAGTTTAAAAAATGGAAATGAATGTATAAATGTATATATTAGGCTTATAAATTATCAAGGAAAATATGACAAAAATATCTCCTTAACTGGTATGGCGAACAAACAAATTTGTGCGACTATCACAAAACCGGTTTGTGTGACTGATAGGAAATTCCTAAAGAAGCAGGAACCATGGAGTTAGCAAAACAGTAATAATGCACCTTGTTCTGATGCTGATAAAACTCAATTGCACTTGTGGCTCAGGTGAATTTACTGCACTTCTAACTATTCCTGGCAATTGTTGATGTACCTTTTGATTTAATTATTTATATTGACTGAAATATTTATATTGGCATGTGAATATGCAGTTCACAAAACAAATAAAAAAAAGACACACAAGTCATTTCAACCCCTCTGCAAAAAACACTATCCAGTAATACAAAGAAAAAAGAATGGAGTATCAGCTGTTATGTGTACAAATCACTAGTAATTAAAAGCAGAACTAACACTTGATGGCCTGTTTAAAACTAAAGCCCACTTACTGAAAAGGTCAAAGATGTGTAGAATTCAACACAATGCACAGAATGTTCTGGTGTTTCATGAAATGTTTATTTTTGGATCTAGTGCATCAGCCAATGGTTCTGGAATTTAAATTTTTAGAATAGGAAATTCCTGATATGATCCACCTTAACCCAGAAAGGCCAAAGAGCCATTTGGAGAAAGCAAAAAAAATACTCTGGAGAACAATGAAATATCTATGCCTGTAATGCTAAGTTCTAAGCTAAGTAGAGGAGATGACTACTTTTAAAATAAATAAATAAAAGTGGATTCAATACTCTTTCTGTTGGAAAAGGATTGTGAAGATAACTATCCACTGAAAAGTCCTTGCTCTTCTATATATTTAACAAATCTTGAGGATGAACCTGAGAGCAGGATTTTATAGCTGAACCTCCTGGCTAACAAGTGGCTTGTTCTAACATTCAGTAAACCTGAATGTGTGCAAGTATGGCACTGAATGTGCCTATAATTTTATATTTCAAAAAGCAATGTATTAAGTGAAATTTTGGAGATATCAATCTAACACTCTAGTTGAATAATTGAATAATAATAAAGGCAATCCCACTTTTAAGATTTTCCCCTACAACCTAAGATACATTTCCTGGGACAACAAATTATGGCTTTGATGGCCTCCAAAAATTTTAGAAAGCAATTCAGGCTGAGTACTTACATGCATGGCTAAAATACTGCGAGGGACAAGTTCTCTGTATTGTCTAATTGTAAAGTGCCATGTTTTTATTCTCATAAGGTCATCAAAAGTAAATTCCAAGATCAGACGTCCTTCTGTGCATACCTACAAGCATAAAGGGCAACAAAAAATGTAAATAGATTTACTAAGATATTTTATATTTTTGAAAACTTTTTCAAATGTCGATAGATTTTGCCGTTTGACTTCATTAGCACAATTGTATCCTTTCCTAAGCAAAGAAGAATTAAGAGAAAGCAATTCAATTGGTAGCAGTTGATCAAGCTGTAGATTTTATAGCTGTGAGTGCTCAAATCTTGTTTATCTCTTCTTTCTCTCTGAAACTGCTGTTCATAATTAACAATACTAAGTTTGTTAGTCTGAGTGTGATTAGCAATAGTGCATTCAGGATAGCTGATTTTTGAAATAGATGATGTCTTTGCATCTATATAGGCATATGATTTTTATAGGTGAAATACAACTAATTATTCAACTGATTTCAGTACAGACATAACTCACAGGTGTTAATGTTTATCCCATTTCATTTACTGTAGCTTTCTTCCTTTGCTTTTAGACTTTTTCTTTGGTTTTGTTCTGCATTCCTCCAGTCAGCATACCAGCCATTAAAACATGCAAGCCATCCATTAATGTTAATTTAAATAAAGATTAACTTCCTCTGCCTCTACTGGGATGAGATACCTTTTTCCTGTTGAACTTATTTAGAGAGCTACAGACAAAGTTTAAAAACAGGGTGAGGTAATACCAGAAAGGGGGGAAAAGAACTCTCAACCCATTTAAAATTGCCACCCTTCAGTGCTCCAAACTACTACATCAATTTAAAAAGAGCGTTGTTGTCTTCAACTAATGCTTCAGAGGTTCAAGCAGGACAATGGGTTTTTTAAAAAAATAAGCAAACAATTCAGCTGAGGGCCATATTTGTTTGAAAGAAAAAGGCATAATGGCAAAAAAGCACTGCAGAATCAAAGGTTGCAAACTTCTGTTTTAATTATCTTTAGTCCTCTTTGTTTAAACTCCTCTAAGCAAACACTGAAGGACAGTAGCCATGTTAGGCTGGAATTCCGAGATTGCAAGAAAATTAAAGCCAAGTATAATTAATATGAATTGTGGATTTCAGGAAAACAATTCCTGCTAACTTGGATTCCATGGGAAAGATGCCAATAGGTAAATGAGCTTGGTTAGGAAATATTTAAAAAGGAAAAACTAAAGAGTTCTCTGAAAACAATTCCAAAATTGGATTTTTTTAAGGTAATAAAGAAAGAAGGCAGAAGTCCCTGTGTCTGCACAATAAGCTCAGAGGAAAATGTGAAAACAAAAGGGAAAATGAATAGGTGAGAGAAAGAAGATAAATCATCAAGAAGAAATACACACAATTAGCCCAGCAATGTAGCAAGGATGTCACAAATGTGAAAGCTCAGAAAGAATGCAATTTGGTGAATAGTGCTAAAAGTAGTATCCTTTGTATCTATTGAAAATAAAAGGTATATAATCAGTATGCCAGTTGCTCAATGAAGAAAGCAATGCCCTAACAGTAAGAAAGAAAAGACAGCTGCTCAAGTCATGTTGATTTGCTCTTCTGTAACAAAAAGTATGCATTCTATCAAGGTCAATGTGGAGCAGGAGGAAGGGGTAGAGACGATGTTTGAAAATGACTGAAATATGTCAATTTATTTTGCATGAATTCTAATCTCCATACCCTATGAACTGCATTCTAGGCCACTAAAATAATTTGTTGTTGGCCTGACAGAAGAATATCTAGGACTTACCTCTAAGACACACTGCAGAATGAGGAAAAAAAAAATCAGGGAACTTCAAATAAGTGACACTTACCATAACTCAGTATGGATTTGTTAAGATTCATTTTTGACAATACTTGTTCTTATCTCATTTTTTAAACGACTTAAATGCTTGGCTGAAACCAGGTTATATTATGTTTACAATATGTCTGCAATCTTACAGCATATCTTGGACTTCAGTAAGGAATTTGATAAAGTAGATCACAACCTATTACTTGATAAGATGGAAAAATGTAGGTTAGACAGCATCACCACCCTATGGATTTATAACTGGCTAACCAATCAGACTCGATGTGTAGTCCTCAATGGAACTGCATCTACATGGAGGTAAGTTTCCAATGGGGTACCCCAAGGCTCTGACTTAGGCCCAATACTCTTCAATATCCTTATCAATGATTTGGATGACAGAGTAGACAGGGAACTCATCAGATTTGCAGATGATACCAAGCTGGAAGGAATAGCCAAAACTCCAGAAGATCGGCTTAAGATATAAGAAGGATCTTGACAAGCATGAACATTGGGCCCTATCTAGAAGAAATGAAATCCAATGCTGAAAAAAGTAAAATTCTACCTTTAGGCAAGAAAAAACTAATGCACCAGTATAATAAAGGTGGTACCTGGCTCAATAATAGTAACTGTAACAGGGACCTAGAGTCTTAGTGGACAATCACTTAAATATGAGCCAGCAGTGTGCTGCAACTGACAAAAAAGCCAAAGCAGTCCTAGGTTACATTAATAGAGGGATAGAGTCAAGATCACGTGAAGTATTCTCATATATATGAGAGGGATTTTGAGTCATATGAATAATGCGCATAGGCGTAAACAGATGCAAAAATGTAAAGAGTTGGAAGAAGAGATTAAACTCAAAGAGAAGGCTCTTATTTTAAATCCACTGGATAATAGTTTAAAGGTTTCTATAACTATGCTTAGGGAGCAATTTAATACGTTAATGGCTGACCAGATTGCAATTAATTTTCGGTATATGAAACATAATACATTTTGTAATGCAAATAAACCTGGTAGGTGGTTGGTTTACCAATTATGAAAGAAATAGAAGTCAAGGATTATAGAGAAAATAGATTACAAAGATAAAGAGGTTTATCAACAGAATTTGATTAAAAGGAGCTTTTTATATTTTTATTCAAAGTTATATGCTAGTGAAAGTATACAAGTTTCAGATATAGAAAAGTATTTACCGGCAGCACACTTTCCTAGACTTTCTAATGACCAACGAGATGAGATGAATTGTTTAATTACTTCTGATGAAATTATTTGGGCAATTAAACAATTAAAGGTTGGTAAGGCTGCTGGTACAGATGGATTAACAGCAATTTATTACAAAATGTTATCTGAAGAAATGATAGAACCACTGAAGGAACTTTTTAATAGTATTTTGTTGGGAGCAGAGGTACCTCCATCTTGGAGAAGGGCTTTCATATTGTTGATCCCAAAGAAGGATCAAGATCTGACCCAGCCTAAGAATTATAGACCTATATCTCTTTTGAATACAGATTACAAGATTTTCTCAAAAATATTGGCAAACAGATTAATGCAAGTTTTGAAGCAATTGATCCATAATGATCAATCTGGATTTATAACTGGAAGATATATGAAATATAATGTAAGACAAATTGTTAACCTAATTGAGTATTTGGATAAGAATAATCAAATCCCTGCAGCTTTGATATTTTTGGATGCTGAAAAAGCTTTTGATCAGTTAAATTGGCAATTTTTATTGAGAGTTGTAGAGAAAATGAATTTTGGGGATAAATTTTTGTATGCTCTTAAGGCTATATACCAACAGCAATCAGCACAAATTATAATTAATGGAGGATTAACAGAAGCATTTAAAATTGAAAAGGGTACTAGACAAGGATGTCCACTATCCCCATTGTTATTTGTTTTAACAATGGAGATTTTATTAATTAAAATTCATGAATCAACTACAATAAAGGGAATAAAAATAAAACAGAATGATTTGAGGTTGAGAGCTTTTACTGATGATTTGGTTGTGACATTATCTCAACCGACAGATTTGGTAAGGGATTTGGTAGAAATCATAACCCAGTATGGGAAAGTTTCTGGTTTTAAGGTAAATAACAATAAGACTAAAATACTACCGAAAAATATGTCTATGAAGGAAAAGGATATGTTAGCTAAATTAACAGGTTTTGAAATAGTGAAAAAGGTTAAATATTTGGGAGTTTACATTACAGCTTCTAATGTTAAATTGTATAAAAATAATTATGAGACATTATGGGCAAAAGTGCAAAAGGATTTTAATGATTGGAAAAAACTACAGGTATCTTTGTTGGGAAGAATCTCAGCGGTTAAAATGAATGTTCTTCCGAAGTTTTTTTTTGTTTGTTTCAAATGATACCTATTTTGAAAATAGATGCCAACTTGGAGGAATGGCAGAAGGGTATTAATAAGTTTATTTGGGCAGGGAAAAAACCAAGAGTTAAGTTTAAGATTATACAAGATGCACGGGAAAGAGGAGGACTTAAGGCGCCTAATTTAAAATTGTATTATGATGCGGTGGCTTTAACTCTGATTAGTGATTGGCTTAACAAATAAAAATATACTTCTTCTTGAGGGATGGGATTTATTATATGGATGGCATGCATATTTAATTTATAATAAAAAATAGATCAGGTTTTTAAATCTCATATTTTAAGAAATGCTTTATTACATGTCTGGAAGAAGTATTATTATAGATTAAATTATAAAATTCCAATTTGGGGGATTCCTGGACACGTGATAGAGGGGGTTTCTAGGAGAGTGAATTTGGATAGGATTTCTTATAAGGAATTACTTAGTTTGGTAGGGAAGGATTGGCAATTAAAATCTTTAGCTGAGTTGAAGCAAGAAAATATTGTACACTCTTGGTTTCAGTATAATCAATTGTTAGTTAGGTGGAGTTTAGATCAAAAGGTTGGTATTACTTTAGAGGACGTGAATTTGGTAAAACAGATTAAAAATCAAACTCGAGCCCATATAAAGAGAATTTATAATGTTTTAACAGAATTGGATTCTGAAACAGAGTTAGTTGAAGATTGTATGGTAAAATGGGCTCAAAATATTCAAGAGCCGATTCTATTGGATACATGGGAGACAATTTGGGTTAGAAATGTAAAATTTACTCAAGCTCAAAATTTAAGAGAAAACTTTTATAAAATGTTTTATAGGTGGCATTTGGATCCTCAAAAACTGTCTTGTATGTATCTGGACAGACTTGAGCACTAACTAACAAAATGAAATTCAATGGTGAAAAAAGCAAGGTTCTACATTTAG